ATAGAGAAGAGTGGGGGTGGGGTTGAGAGGGGGCAGAACTCGATGAAATTAACTGATCTGACTTAAAATAGAGAGAGAGAGAGAGAGAGAATTTATTCTTAATGAGCGGAGAATTTGTAATTTACTATTAAAACTAATTATACAATAAAATTGCGAAAAATTTAATGCCATATATATTTACGACAACATTTCAGAGACAGTTATGAGCCGTAAATCCTTGAAAATAGAAACCAAAAAAACTAAACTTATTTTCTAAATGTTTTAGTGAACCAAAAGAAATGGGAAACAAAACCAGAAAAAACAAACAAATAAAAAACTTATTGAACTAGAATTTCATGACTATTAAAATACTTGTATTTCTCTGTCGATAATCAAATCATTTAATTTCAGAGCACATAATAGTGTGTATATCTCAGCACCGGTTGGCGTCAAATGTCTCGGCACTAGTGGTGAGTCTCTCCCACCAGTCATTTCAATACTAGACACACATATCAATTGATTTTGCGGTGATATTTGAGGCCACGGTTTGCGAATACGAGACACTCGTATCGTTTAATTTTTCGTCATTTTTGAATTATTTGTACATTAAATATAAGGTGAAAATGGGAGGAAAAATGATTTTCTTATCGATATATAACTATTTATAAATGTTGGAGAGAGAGAGAGAGAGAGAGAGAGAGAGAGAGACCAAATATCAGTTTTCAAAAAACTTTGTATAAAACAATTTAACCAAAGCATGATATGAATAAATTTGCCATAAAAACAATGTGAAAGACACTCAAAACCAGTCCTGTTTGACAATCCAAGACAAGACCAGCGAAAAGTTAACGCCACAAAAAATGCCAATAACCAGACACGCGGCGGCCATCATACCGGCCGTGCCCTCGTGTCCGGGTGGGGCACATCGGGGCGCGTACATCATACACAGGCTACTGTAGTAGCCGGACGTCAGGCCCAACAGCACACCACCCAATATAAACAGGTAATCGTTTTGGACAATCACTGGCCACTGACGCAGCTCTGGCTGATAGTTGCAGAACAGGAAGAATGGTATGAACAGGAGTCGGGTCATCACCGGCAGCCACAGGTGCTTAGGGCCGGGTATTGTGACCCAATTGGCCACAATGTTGCCGATCATAGCGAACGCGTTGAACACCAGAAAACAATTGACGGCCGAATAGTATTTGTCTGTCCGTTCGGCGGTCCCGAAGAACTCCCGGTCAATGGGTTGGACGCCCGCGTGAAGGGCCGGGAAAATGGCCAGCGAGACAAAAAACACCATGAACACGTTAAAGCATTGCACCCATATATGCTTAAACACCATCCAATAGAGCGGGAATATCCGTCGATTCCCTTTGGTCTCTACCGCCGGTTGTGTCAGACAGTAATGTCGGTAAAATTTCTGTGTAAATGTACATAATAGACAATAGATTACAATCACTAATTGATCATGGTCATAACAAACTGAATTTCAACTAAATTAATTGAGACATACGTTAATAGGGAGCGCAAAATAGGTGTCAAAACAGGCCAACAGTATGAGCAGTGCGGCCAAGAAGTAGTAGATGGCGGCCACCCGTAGATTAGGTGACAGCGCGATGGCGGCGATGTTGATGATGGACGTGAATGTGCCGCTGATGTTGGAACCCATGACCACTGCGTTCGAGTACTTGGGCGGCAATTTGGCCGCCAAACCGTACACCGAGTTCTGATAGACACCGTTGGCTGTGTTTAGCACCACAACAGTGGCCAGAGTGGCCACCAAGAACTCGGGCACCCACGCGCTCGAGTCCACCATCGCTAATAAGATAGTCACTATGAATAGTATCACTTCCACCACAATCGCAGCCGTTATACTGAGCGTCAGATTTGTTCCCCTGTGCCGAGAGAAGAATGTCCATGATTGTTTGTTTAGTTATGTGTATGTGGGTGGGGAGTGTAAATAGTACCCTGGTACACTTACCCAAACTGGAAAACAATGTTTAATACATTGAATAGTACATTAGGCAACTGTGCGGCCAAACCTAAATAGGACAGAAAGTTGTTGCGGTAGGTCTGGTCGGTCTGCACATCGTTCAGCGCTTGGCTCAGGGATGTGGTGTTGTCCACGTGTACCGTCAGTTTGTATTCAAAATACTGTTATTTTTGTGCCGGATTAAATTTATTAGATTGTTTGCAGGGTTAATTTGTGGTACAATTGAGCTAGGGCAATTTGTATGCGTACCTTTTGTGCATTGATAAACATATTCCACGGCATTAAAGTGCCGATTCCGTGAAGAACCAGAATAAATAAAACCACATTATATCTAAAAATAGTAATTTATAAATTTAATTTATAGTTTTAAATATTTATTTAATTATTTATAGATATATTTTTGTATCAAAGGCTAGAGTCTATTGCAAAAAATTGTTTGTCTCAAAGTCTACATAA